ACATTTCTTATTCAACGGCGATTAAAATTATTTATATTAATGATGTCTCCGAAGTTCAAGGAACTATTCGCAGAAAAATAAGTTATTAGAAATCGGCTGCGGTTTGCTGAGCTGTTCCGCGACGAAAACAATGTTGAGCAATGGCGATGTCGAATGGTGCACACTCGGTAAGTAATCCTACAATTTTTTATTTATAGCGTAGTTTATACGGATTATTTCCAAAAAAAATATATGTATTTTGGAAATGTTGAGTCGGATTAGTCTAGAATTGATTAATTTTATGGAAGAAAACCTTTCAATCAGCTGTAGTCCGTAAACTTTATACGTGTCAAGCTGTGATTGGAACGACTCGTAAGAAATCGGATTCCTAAAAAATCTATGATCTTATAGGGAAGGTCGACTGTATTTACTTCACAAATATACTGTATGCTGTAATTTATATTATTAATAAAATAAATAATAAGGCTAATCACTCCTCCACTATTTAGATCTTATAACTCAATTTATTTATATTCATTACATTGCTACACTATTACATCCATTACCATTGCTGTAAAGTATACAGTGATATTTTTTCCTTCTTATTTACCATTATTCTATCATAACTCTGCTGAATGTGTTTTTTTAAAGTATGAAGTATTATTAAGTAATAAGTATGAATTGATCTATCTCTTTTTTTTCTTAATTTGCTATATATCAGGTGAGAAATATATCATGATAAACAGTATAAAAAAATTAAATTTTATATTATATAATTTTTTGAGATTTCTTAGGCTGTTTGTCTATTTCCCCAGTAATACATAAGGTTCCCACCAGTGGCGAAGTGGTTCCATTCCCTGAACACTGATGGTTCAATCATAGGTTTGTGCCTTGCTAGGACAGGCTGGCTGCATGGAGTTTTCTAGGTTTTCTCCACATCTTTAACACCTAAATAGGGGCCAGTTACCCTTAAAAGACCTCTCAGAAGGCATCCTTCTAGGGCAGATTGCCCAAGTGTTACGGCAATGCAAAACTAATAAAACAAACAAAGTAATACATAAGTTTTATATTTTCAATACAGAACTTATCTATTGATAGAATTTACTTATAATATTTTCTAATTAAGTAAATAATGAATGAAACACCTATTTAAAGAAACATGTATTTTCTTATTTTGTAGATCTATTTTTACATATCACAGATCTACACACAGTAAAATTTGAAGTATTACGTCACTTTTGAAAATACAAAATATTAGTTTCCAGCTAATAAGTATAACCAGTATTTCTTTAAATGCCTGTTTTATTCAAATAGCAGCCATCCTTGAATAACTACATCTTGTCCTTAAAGCTTGAAATAATAACTGCACTTAAATAGTAGATGTGGATACTTTCAAGGATTTCTAAAAACTTAGGGAAACAATGTAAAATTAATAGATACTGTAAACTATAGTCAATATGTACCACATTTATATATTTATTTAAAAACCAAACTTTAACAGAAAATGAAATGTGTAAAATGTACAATATACAATTGTGAGATCCGAATAGCCCCCGGGTCTAAAATAATTTAAAAATAATATTAAATTTTTGTCATAAAATATTCTTTCGTTTTGCGTGAGAAAAATAACGTTTTTCTAGCGTGGGAAAACAGCTAGGGGAGTCACTTCCTTTGATGGAAGTATGAGCATCCTCCGTTTTTTCCTTATCTGCTAAAAATCTCGCTTCGATGGGAACTGTTTACCCCTCATTTCTTCCCCTTCCCATCCGTCCATGTGGGAAAATCTGAATGCGATGATTAATCATAAATGGGAAGATATCGGCGAAGTTCAGCAGTATTCGGGGAGTTCGACGGCAGATCCAAAAGTGACAAGACTCCACTCAGTGGCTCTCAAAGGCCAACGTCCTTAAGAGTACATCCGTAGATCGGAGAGTGAAAAGGACTCCACACATATGCCAGCAGACCAACGCCATCGTCATCCCCTGTCAAGTTGATCCTAAGAAAACCATGAAGTTCCTTCGCCGAATAAGAAGACGACACTGCCAAGTAAACAGGTCGTATGTTTAGGAATAAATTGTGAGCTCTCTCTCTCGACTCGGTATAGACTATAAATAGGCTAATTTCCTCCTGTCGTGATTGATTTGATTATTCGTTCTTTAATGGACTGTTTTGAATTATTTGATTATTTCTTATTCTGTATTAGTATTGTTTATTTTGTTTATTAAATTCTATATATTTTGTTAAGAGATGTCTCTGGATTATTTCCTGAATCAGATCTACGGCATAAATTTCACGCGTGTTTATCCGCGTTGAGAGAAGTAGATAAACTGGTGTCGGGACCCTGACATAAGGAAGAAGGTGAATTCGCCATCACCAACTTCCGCTCTAAATTCTAATTTAACTATAAGACTCGATTTCCTATTAAATAGGAAAGCCATTCTTGTGGACGAATGAGACTAGTTTCACCAACTAGCTGCCGATTAAGTGGTACTAATTATCTTAGTAAATAAGTACCCCTGGCGAATCTCACACAATTGGTGAATTTTTAAAATTACTTTCTTATTTCTTATTTATGGAAAGTAATACTTGTTGCAAAGAAATATACCAGTTGCCATTTCAATTATAATTTTGTTTTAAAAATCAAACTTTCATAAATAAATATTTAAATATTTTATTAATAATGAAAATCAAACAGATAGATGTAAAAGAAATAATAACTTCCCTGGAATAGTAACTGTATAAAAAATATGCAGTTTAAAATAGTAGCTGCTACTATTATTTAAATAAATCTGTAGACCAATAAAACTAATTATTGATGAATTTCTAAAAACACATCTCTTATAAGTTCAGAGAATTATATAGTCTCTCAATTATTTTTTTTAATTTACATATTTTCTAACAAAGGTGTGTGTATTAAAGACTCTAATTTGACAGTTGATTAAATTAAAAATTTGGCTGGTGGTATTTACATTAAAATGTATAAATATATTGAAGCTACAAAGCGTCTTCATTTTACATTGTTACAAAAACCAGTGACAATGTTTTTGTGGAGGTGCAGCCTCAAATAAAAGGTCATCTTCATAGGTGAAAATTGTTTTGAACTGTCACTGGTGTTTGTAATGACAGAAAATAAAGATATCTTGTAGCTTCAATACATTTATATATTTTATATTTTAATCAACCTTATTGTAAATTATGTTATTGAAATAATTGTCAGAGGATGTTTTTATTGGGCTGCAATTTGAAAAAATTGTAGACCTATAAATTCCCACTGACATCTGTCTGTCTATGTTTCCTTAAGCCATGGTCACACCACGCGATTTCCAAACACGCAGGCAACTGCAACTGCAACAGCTGTTCCCATTAACTAGTAAACCCCCTTTAAATACTGACATGACTGCAACCACAACTAGAAACAAAAAGTTTATTCTACTTGTGCCGATTGCAAACGTGCATCCAATCAGCAAATGCCTTCGTGCCACATCATATGGTAACAGCATTGAAATAGTTCATCATCGTGGCAGATAGTTAGAGGATTAATACTTTTACAGAATCGAGATTGATCAAGCATATTCAGGCTCACAAATACATGTGGGATTTTAATTCTTTGTTTTATTGAAGATTTAAAATTCCACTTTTTGTGTATTTGCACTAGCTCTATCAAAATAATTGCCTTTTTTCAATTGTTCATTCCAGAAAAGGAATTGCTTGCCATTTTAATAAGAAAAGTGGCTAAAATTCTGTAAATACTCTGAAGTAGAATGAAAAATGTCGGTAAACTCATAAAAGTAGTCAAAAACAAGCTACTGTAATTTTATTGGTTTATTATAGGGTCATGTGTTTCCGAGTTGCAACATCAGTGAATAATGTGTGACCATGAGAAGATGTGCACAACTCGTGCTTGTTGCAGTTGCGGTTGCCTGCAACAAGCATGGCTGGAAATTGCATAGTGTGACCAAAGCTTTAATCTCGAGAACAGTGTTAGATAGATAAAATCCGAGACCAGATATGGAAACCATAGGAGCAGGAGGCTCTGATTAACTATATATGAACTTCTGATGCAAACTGGAAGTCATGTTAGTTCAATTCAAAAATTTTCCCCTGAAAAGTGTTTATATTTTAAATTAAATAAATTAAAAAAATAATTAAAAATTGCAGTCTGGCATTGTGATGGTGTCACAATAAATAATTGTTTATCTATTTTACATTTTTTGCAGAGGTGCAGCCTCATATAAAGGTCAACTCCATATGTGAAAATTGTTTTGGACCATGACTGTTGTTTGTAATAATGAAAAATGAAAACATTTTATAGATTTGATATATTTATATATTTTATATCTTTTAACTCTAATTTGAATTAAAATATTCAGAATTAAGATTTTGTTAAGCAAAAATTTCAGACCCAGATTATTATTTTCCACTCTAATTTTATTTCAACAAAATCATCAAAAGACATGAGTTTAATAATTTAGATTGTAATACAGCATAAAATTATTAAGTTTGAATATTTGAAAATATTCAATTTTTAAATATATATATATGTTGAATCTTACCATTTTCCAGAAGTAACAGCATATGTAATTTCTGCTCTGTAAGTTCTGTAATCAAATTTAGATTCATCAACTTTCCCTGAAACACCTACAAATTAAAAATTTAATTATCTCAAATTATGAAAAAATATTAATGAAATAATATTTATAAATCTACTTAAAGATTACATTTCATTTATTAATGGAAAATCATTTGAAAACTATCATATTAATCTTTTAAAATTGAAATATTGCTTTAAAAATTATAAATTAATACTCTTTCAAAATATTTTTCACAAAATTCAAAGATACTTCTTGTTTTATTTGTTCATGTTTATCCAAGTATGGGACATAATTAATTGGTAATAATCTGTTGTCTTCTCTTTCTTTTCTATTTCTCTATTTAACTTTAGAAAACGGGAATTAAAAACATTTCAAAATTTTAAAAAATTTGTCTCCTAACTAAAAAAGTAATTTTAATTGAATTTTGTTTAAAGAACTTTGAAAAACTTCCTTAGCAATATATTTTTCATAATTAACTTTTATATTTTTGATGATTTGGCATTATAACTTAAGTTTTTTAAAAATAAATCTAATGTAATAAATTTGAATTATTAATTAAGTTCATAAGACTAAAAAACTTGCAATTAATTTTTAAAACATATAAAAATATCATTAGGCATTATTTATTAAGGATAAATAATATAAAATTGTATTAATTGATTGCAATTGTAAAAAATAGAAAATAATAAACAGAAAGTTTATGAAAACATTTACTTCATATAAAAGAACTATTAAGTGATGAAAATGACATAAATTGTTATTAAAACAATTTTAAATATTTTTATATTTTCAAATATTGAATACATGTTGTTAACTTATAGCATATTAAACTAAAACTCTTGATATAATGTAATAAATAACATGATATGAGAATATCTGTGTAAGTATATAAAGATATTCATTTTTAAATATTCTGAATACTATTAATATAAATTCTATACTAAAGAAAATTAAGCTAGTCATAAGCCAATCAGCCTAAATCCATTTTTTTTTTTTTTCCAAATTAGGGTTTTCATTCTAAAAGGAAGTATAGAGAGTAAAGTTTCTGGTGTGAAAGAACTCATGTCCTTAGTGTTCATAAATACTGCTAGATTGCACCATCTATTTTGTCAAAGAAAAATGATAAAATACTAAAGCACAACTCTAAATTTGTTCTCCTGTAATGTAATAATTGGACTTGCTGATTGGTCTCTGAATGACTCAATTCTAAAGAAGCCAATGTGCTGCAAAATGGTACTTTCATTCAATGAAAATAAAAATAAATCTACTTTATGTACAGTTAATGTATAATGTTATAAATTTTAAAATTTAAGCTATTTTTAGAACAATTTATAAATATACTGGTAAAAAACAATAATATAATGACTTATAACATCTATCAATATTGTAAAGCAATATACTTCCATGAAATAAAGAAATTTTCTTTGAAAAAAGACGTCTTTAGTAAAATAAATGAAAAAATATTTTCTTCTCTTTCTAGTTTCTAAAAACTTTAAAACTAAATTTAGAATACTAAGTAAACAAAGAAAAAATCAATATTAATCTTGTTGCAGTATGTTTATATTGTAGCTGATTCACAGAAAATTAATTGTTACAATCTCAGAAAAATTAAAAAATTAAAAACTTTTCAATATTTCTATTTATATACATTTATTTTTATCAGATATATAAAAATTTCATTAATTACATATTTTCTATTGTACATTAAAGGAAAGAAATATAACTTTAATAAATTATATAAATTTACAGACAAAACAGATATATATGTTACTTGACAAAACAAAAACAAAATTTCATCTATTGAAAAAATTTTTCATGTACAGTACAGTGTAGGGCCATTAAACCACAGACCAGTAATCCACGAATTCACTTCAGCCGCACAAAAAGCTTGGATCCCAATTTTTTGACACTATGAATCATACGGACCTGGACATGGCCTCTCAAACACTCAAGACAGGTGTTGACAGCTGTCTTGAGTGTTGAGCTGTCATTTTGGCATTTCGAATGTCCGTGATTGACGTGCTATGCTCTATCACGGATTAAATATCATTATTTAAATGCTGGGCTTATAACTTCAAAGAGGTATTTATAGAAAATTAGTCTTTTATTTATCAATAAACAATAAAATAACTTACAATGAAATTCAAATATAGTATTAATCTGTTTTATCCACACTGAGTGTCAGCATTATGGAGGCCACCATTCTAACCGATTCACACCTTACAATGCTACAAAGTTAATCCGTGGTAAATCTGCAAAAAATCGACTCGTATTTAAAGTACAGTGTATTATTTTTAATTCGATAATCTGATAAAACTTGAAATTGTATAAATACGAGTCACAAACCCAACATAAATCACTTCAGTTTCTGAATCTATAGCATGCACATCATATTTGCTTTAAAAATCTTTATGCCATGAGTAATAAATGTAAACACGCTTCATATGATGTTCAGCAAAAGCTAGATGTCATCGAAAGAATATGAAACGGTGAAACTCACATTAAAGTAAGCAGAGAGTTAGGGGTACCTGAGTCAACACTACGTGGATGGATCAAAGATAAAAACTAATTAAGAGCATTTCTTGATGAGCTTGATGAAGGTGGGTTAAGACACAAGAGAGTCAGGCTAAGCAAAAGATCCAGAATTAGACAAAGCAACTTTTAATGCATTTTGTGAGGCTAGAAACAATGATATCCCTATTTCTAGTCCAGTCATCCAAGTGCAGGCAGAAAATTATACAAGGAAATTCATGGTTCCAATGCAGAACCTGAGTTTACAGTTTCAAGTTGCTGGTTGAAAAGGTGAAAACAGTGACACGGCATTTCACAAGTAAAGATCAATGGCAAGATTAAGTCAGCAGACACTGTAACAGCAGAAGAGTTCATTCCCAAATTTCAACAATTCATAGAACAGCAGCTAACAGAAGAGATGATTTACAATGCTAATGAAATGGGCCTTTACTACAAAATACTGCCTGATAGGAATTTAGCCATGAAGAAAGACAAGACCAGCAAAAAAGGTTATAAACAAATCAAAGACAGGGAGGCAATGTTATTTTGCTGTAACTGGACAGGTCATCACAAGATAACACCTCTTTGTATTGGCAAGTTTGGATCCCCAAGATGTTTCCACAACATCAACACCCAAGATGTTTCCACAACATCAACATGTCATCATTACCACAGTAAGAATGCCTGGATGACAGCAGCAATTTTTGAGAAGTGGTTTCATCAGACGTTCATCCCTGATGTCCGTAGGCACCTCAGAAGCAAGGGAATGAAACCACAAACATGCCTACTTCTAGACAATTGTCCAGCCCACTCTCCTGCAGAAACATTGAAGTAAAGAGATGGTAAGATTTTCGTTTATTACCTTCCAAAGAATACAACGTCCAAGATTCAGCCCCTAATCAAGGCATCATTTCTGTGTTCAAGCCAATTATAGACAGGAGAAGGTAAAGTCCATGGTTGAAGAAGATAAGAGTGTTCCTATATTTCTGAACACTAAGAATTAAAGACACATTATATTTGTCTGAGTCAGCCTGGGAAGCAATCAAGCCTGAAACAATTCAAAATTATTGGACTAAAGCCCTTGGAGGTCCCATAACAGAGAACACCACTACCGTTGAAAAAGACAAAGATGAAGACTTCCTAGGTTTCAGCCCAGAAGAAGTACGGGAAGAAGAACAGAAGTTGATGTCAGCTATCCACTCAAGTGTACCAGTACAAGAAATCCTTGCAGCATGGTCCACCATAGATAATGATGTCTCAATTGCATCCTCCATTTTAGCTGAAGAAAACTACAATGAAGATGAAGAAAAAGGAGATCCTGTCCCAGTACATCCAACTAGAACTGCTGACGATGCAGTTAAAGGACTTGAAGTGTCCTTAGAGTACTACGAGCATGTGGGGGATAAAGTAAAAACACTACAGCTGAAGTCTCTCATAAGAGATGCCAAGATGAGAGCTTCTAAGAACAAGAAGCAAGCTGACATCACCTCGTACTTTACTAAAAAATAAAGACTGTTTGTAACTTGTTATTGTGTAATAACAACTACAGTGGTGCCTCTTATAATGTACTTAATCTGTTCCAGGTGCCCGTCCGTTAAGTGAAAAGTCCATTATATGAAACGCATTTTCCCATAAATATACATGTTAAAACACATAATTCGTTCCACAGCATAAAATAACCATACTGTACCATAAAAAAAATGAAAATGGAGCAGTCACCAATTATGCCGGGTAGTCAGATGTTGTGAGGAGGTGGAGGAACACTTTCTTTACACATCCATACAGATACAGACTTTTTACATGTTGCAGCAGGTCTCTTTTTATTGTTTTTTAATCAAAATCAGATTCAGGAGACGCTACCGGAGCTTGCAGGGTCATCTCCTCTTGTTCCATCCATTGTTTTATGGCAGCTTGCTTGTTGAAAAACGTGTCCAATGTGGTCTGTTTCTCTCTCTTCTTCAACACCTGTCGGAAATGACAGGCAAGGGTGTCATTGTAGAGATCATTGATCCTGTTGGCCTCAGCTCTGTTTGGATAATGAGTGTTGGTAAACTCCTGAACCTCTCCCCATTCGACAAGGAAGTTGTTGTCAACTTTCACTCCTTCTGATGATTTCTTGCTTTGTTTCAATTGAAATCACCTGTCTGTTTTTTAGAAGCCATGATTTGCACAACACTTGAATGAATGTAAATATCCTGCACTGAGGTGATGTACGTAATAAACAAGGGAACAAGCCGAATCCCAAAGGGAGCTCTGTACTTTAGATATACTAATAATATATTCTAATAATACAGTAGAGCATCGATTATCCGACCCCCGATTAACCGTCACATCGGTTAACCGACTGTTCTAGTCAGCAAATTTCAAATGTCCGCTAGTGATGTGGCATTACAATATTTAGCTATGTCTTGGCTACTTTAATATTATTTTTGTTAAATTTTTGTGTGTTTTAGCTGGCATCAATGGCACGACCATTGAAGGGAGGCCAATATTTAAACGAGACTTAATTTTCTAATTATGAGTGGTTGGTTGTTT